GTGAATCTGCTGTAATATAGAAAGACCCCATCAAAAATCTGTGGAACAAATTTATTATTAGTAGTAGAATCCGTTATTATTATGACAAACGTTTTAATTAATATTAATAAGGGAACAATACTTAAATCTGTTGTAACAAGAAATGTGTTGTGCCGAGGTCCGTTGTGACGAGGTTTGACTGTAATATATAAAAAAAATTTAATAAATGGTGGTTAACCGGTTAAAAAAATATCTTAACCGGTTAACCACGGTTAAACGGTTAACGGTGCCAACCCATATTCTGGATCATTCGAGATAACTGTCAACAGTTGGATTTTCTTCATTTTTAACATAAGGCCAGATCAACTTGGAAGCCATTGAATGATGATAAATGTTACATAAAGGATACCAAGATTTATGAAAATCAATGCACTTCTGAAAAAATGTAATTGTTTTTCTCATTTGTTGTAATCTTGAGATTTGGCAAATGATTTAATATATATTTCCCTTTATATAAAATATAGGCAATTAGTTTATTTTCTTTTTTTTTTCAAATAATAAAATTTAAAATTTTTTTACCGATTTAATTCTACAAATGCTTTAAACATATTCATTTTTTTGTGTAGAGCTCCAGGAAGTAAAATTAGCCAAGGAAAATCATTTTCAATTCAATGCAAGATTATAAGGTACACCATCACAAACAATAGGTACCCATCCATGTTTGATTCCTGTAATGCTTTCTATATGTTTTAATGCAATTTCAACATTTTTTAATGAATTTGGATTTACAGGTATTGGATCTGGAATGTAAATGCCTGGAACTTCTACTCTTTTGTCTAGTATAATCTTTGTGTTATGACAAGTTTAGATTTTTGAGCATCGTGTTCAGATTTTTTTATTGAGTGATGTCTGAAAATCATATCTTTATTTGACGATGCACTCTCAAAAGGTTGTTGAGAAATTTGGTTTAAATTTATGAATCGAGGGTTGGTAGCTTCTAATTACAATTTAGACAATTTATTTTTTTATTATCCGGAACAATTACGACATATTTTTATTTTATTGATTATTGTCAACAAGGATTTATTTCCTATTATTTTCATTACACTAATTTAGTGATGTTAGCCGGCTAAGAAATTTATCGGCTTAACCGGCTTAGCCGGCTTACACGGCTCAGCCGGCTAAGAAATTTTTAAACGGCTTAGCCGGCTTGAGCCAATCAAATTCCATTCTCAAAAATAATAAAAAATAT